CGCGCTTTATCGAAAGTACGTCGAGTATATTTAACGAGACATAATCTCGTTGCATTCTTTCATTCCGGTCAGCGAACGTTTTAGGTGTGAAGCACGCGTGTAGAAAATTTCCGACAGGTCTCTACATCCGCCCTGTATATAGCGACTATATTTCGCGGGAGTGCCGATAAGAGAGCAAAATACGAGTACAATAACGCTCGTATTTTTGTGCGAAAAGATGTAATAAGAGTCTTTCCCTCTTTATCGTCGTCGCTTTGACGGGAAATAAAATTCCACGCTTTCCCCCCCCCCCGCCAGCTGGATACTGCAAATGAAAAAGAGGGCAAGTAACCGAAAATATCTCTTAGGTCGAGTGCCCCTCGCAAATCCTTTTCTCGAAATGAGAAATCCTGTGATTTACGCAAGATCGACCCGTGCGGGCGTCGCCGTTCCGCACAACGACTCGGCCGCTCATTGTTTTTCATAGGCGTCGCGCGGCCGCGCGAGCGCGAGCGCGACCCATAACGCGCTCGCATAAATTTCCATCCATAATTTAAAGCGCGCGCGTGCTCGCTCGCGCGGATCCGCGCCACCCCCTATGCGGATGCAGACGTCAGTCGTAAAGAGACCTAATTCCGCGAGACTCGCGCGCGGACGAGTTCGTATAGGTGTCGTATATAGTTCCAGACGCTAGCAGAAAGGTAAACGCAAACGTTTCCCCCCCCCCCCCCCCCTCGAAGTTGCAGTCGCGCGGTCGAGTATCCTTGACTCGGCGCGGGAGTGCGCTCCTACTCCTCCGACAAGTTTTCCCTCCGCAATTTTCCCACGTCTACCCTTCTAGTTTCGAGCGACTCGAGAGACGGCTACGGTGTGGTATGCACACGGACGACGTGTCGCGCAAACCGGAAACCGGAGACGTCTCGGTGTCTGAGGTCTCCGCCACCGAAAAACGCGCGCGCTCGCTCGTTCAACCCCCGGAAGGAGTTTATACGTTCCGGGACAAGGATCGAGTGTCGCGCGGGACGACGTGGTCGAGGAGGATTCCGCAAAATTCGCGACGATCGTTGCCGTCGCGATCGCGCCGGTAAACAACGCGATAAATCGTCCCGCGTCGATAGCTCCTAATTCAGCGGAAATTGAGATACAAGTGGCGGTTGCTGGCTGGATGTATCGACCGATGCGCAACATCGGCGACGGCTGGCAAAGGCAAAGCCCAACACCCCTTCTCCCCGGTCTGATTCTCTCGCTTTCGCTCTCTCTCTCTCTCTCTCTCTCTCTTTCTCCCTCTGTCTCTCCCTATTGTCTTTCTCTCCTGGGACAATGCATTCACCCATCAAATATTTTCGACAGATCCAAATGCACTGCATTCGCGCAACGAATTTTGCTCGGTGTTGTGATTCAGTCAGTGAGTTTAATTCTCGCAGACTGGATGGAAAAAAAAACGTATTCCGCACCCGTCCCCATTATCCCGAGCAGAGATCATTTTCGCGCACCTATAACACGGTGATTCGTAATAACGACTTTATATTTCAGTTTCGATGCGTCGAACGAATCGGAGCGTGTTTTAAAATGTATAATATAACCAAGGTGGCGCACACGAAAAAAATCAATATCAATAAAAGTTTTATTAATAACTAGCTGGCGAGTTACCTGTACTTCGTACGGCCATTTTTCATTGATGCCGTTTTCAAACGAATATAAATATTTAATAATAGATAAATTTGTAATTGATTAATTTTTTAAAATGTTGTTACCGCTGCAAAAATATTATTACCGATGTTCCGAGAACTGCGCGAAAGGATAACATCGTTTAGTGTTAAAATTTCAGATAAAATTGTTTCAGCCCTTTTAAATAACGCTGATTGTTAAATAAACAAATAAAGAAAGAGCAAAAGTTACTCGATTAATCATTGTTACAAAAAATATTAGTGGTCTCGACAATTGGTAACCGTGTTCAGATAATGTCGTTGCGAAAAACAAATATACGGACTCGATTTTATTATTAGAATAGACAAAAGAGCAACGCGAATGTCACGTTCGATGGAGGCCATTTTCAGTACATTAAAAAAAAAAAGATAATAATAAGCATTCGTTGACCCACTAACCCATTAAAAATATTATATATAATTGTAAAGAATTTCATTAGATTTCCCATTGCGCAGTATCATACTCTGAAAAATTTTAATAGCAAAAGCCGAGGTGCGAAATTTCCAGAAAAGAGGAGACGAGGTAGCGCTCGACGATAGATAATGGCGTGAACATGATCGCATACGGCCTGTCGCATACGCTATTTTTATGCACTTGACGTCGAGACGCTGCCGTGTGATAATAATAACATAGCAAAATAATTTTTCAGGATGTAATAACGATATAATGCCGGGTTACCCTTCCGTGCGCGCGCGCGTCAATCTGTATAAAACAGACACGGCGAGTCTGCTTTAAAAAATTCAATAACAGAATTAGAAAAAGGTACAAGATCGAATTGCACTTTTCAGTCGACAAATATATCAGATTTCTTATCTAACCATTTTCGATAAATACGTATATACATTTTCCATCTCTCTTCCATTTTGTAAAGTTTTCCAGTGATAAAAATTGATTCGTTCCTTGACCTAAATTCCAGATTGCATTTTCGCACGGCGAAATCCAATTCTATTTCCATTATCCAGTTTGGTCCGTACGGACGTACATAAGAATATTTTCGGATGAAATTTAGACGAATTCGCGTTATTATTGCTAACGTTTTTTGAATCATGAATCGTTAATTAAATCGGACGGATCGATAAGTGATATAAAAAGATATACGTATATATATA